CTATGCAGGTGCTGGTCACCGCCATCTCGCCCGGACGCTTCCCCGAGGCCCTGGACGAGCTGCCGCTGCCGCCCTTCCTGCAGCCGCTGGACCTCACGGGCAAGGGCTAGACCCTGGGGGGGGTGGGGGGCGTCCCCCTGGGCGCTGGATTTTTGGAAAATCTATTTTTCAGAGGTTGTACCCAGCACTTTACATATATTGATCTCTGTACAGGAGAGTCTGCTTCGTATGTTGCGCGCGTTGCGGGCTGGGCCAGGCTGGGGAGGTGGGCCCCCAGCTGCAGGTTTCCTGGGTCTGGCTGAGCTCCGCTCCCCACTTCCCTCCCCTTTTTGCAAGGTTTAGGGGTCATGCGACCCTCTAGAGTCAGGCCCTACGCTCCACTAGCTTCCCAGCCACCGAGGTCGGTGAGGGCCAGCCTCCCATCTTGATCTAGAGCCTCCAGGACTAAGTGTCCCAGAGGGAGTGACGACTGAGCTGAGCACAGGAATTGGGCAGGGGCAGGGGGTGTGGGCTGACGGGCCTAAGCGCGGGCACAGCGTGTGCAGAGGCCGAGAGAGCAGGTCCTGTGAAACGCTAGGAGGAGGTCCACTGTGCGGTAGGCACGTGGGGCCCTTGCAGACTGCCGTGTGGGGCAGAGGAGGGCAGGAAGGCTTGATGTGCTGGTGCCCCCTGCCCCTCGGCGGGTATCCTTGTGACAGCCCCGCCAATCCCGGTGTAGCCCAGCTTGGGCTTGGCTTGTCCCTGTCCCTCCTTTTGTTCTTTCCTGACGAGTAGCAGGCACCTAGTCCTGGGGCTCCTGCTTCTCATCTCTGCTGTGAAACCCCTGGCCCCTTGCTCCACCCTGTCAGGTGGGATTAGGTGTCCCGACCACCGTCCAGCCCCGGTGTGGGCTCCCGTGTACCCCCCGGCCCAGCCCCCAGTGGTTGTCAGGTGGAGCCTGTGGGTACGACGGGGAGGCTGGAGCACCTGGTGGGCACGGGCCCCTGGCCCAGCCCGTGGAGCTGGCTTCTGCTGGAAGGTTCTGAAGATGACCTGTTAACAGATGTACCAGTGCCCTTCAGGACGAAGGGACTGGCTGAAGAGCTGGGTCCGTGCCCTGAGGAGCCTTGAGGCCAGGGAGGATGGCCAGGCGGCCCTGCCCAGGGAATTCCACTGGGCTATGAAATTCAACCTGCGCCGGCCTGGGCTGGAGGGCCACGATGTGCTGCCAGAAGCAGAAGGCTAAAGGTCTGCCCGATGGTGGGAGGAGGGGAGAATGGAGGGGTGCACGGCCAGGGGCTGATCCTAGATTGCGGGTGGGAGTGAGGGCTCCTCCCTTCTGCTATGTGTCCTGTGGGCCAGTTAAGTAGCTTCTCTGAACGTGGACACTTGGGGGCAATGGATGCTAACCTCTCTCCCAGCTCAAAACTTGGGGATCAGGAGCGTCTGGTTCCTTTAGGCAGTCCCAGGTCTTCATGTCAGTGATGCCATTGTCGGGGGGAGGGCTGGTTGCCTTTGGGGGTGGATGAAGGTGGAGACAGAGTGGCTCGGAGTAGCAGGTGGCTTGGGGGTCGTGGGCCTGTGGAGGCGTTGGGGAACCCTTGGTGCCTGGAGCCACCAGCAGCCTCTGCCTAGAAAGCCCAACAGGGAGCCTGGGCCTACAGACTTCCCGTCATGTCTCCCCAGGCCCAGCTCTGTCCTCGGTGGATCAACCCCCCTGGGCCCCTCTTCCCTTCCACTGTACACCTACAGCTAACCCCTTTGAGGCCCCTGGGCTGGGACTGGGGTGATGCAGAGGTGCAGCTGCCCTGCCTTGGGGCTCCCTGGGAGGCCATGGAAGGGGCACCCCACAGAACCCATTGTCAGGCAAGCAGGAGGCAGGACCTGAGCTGGATCATTCTGAGCACCGCAGCCTGGGGGCCCAGCCTGAGCACGTTCAGGGAAGTTCTGGGGCCCAAGCGGGGTGGTTTGGTGGGAGGGTGACTAGGAAGCAGAAGCTGCGGGGACTGCTCCATCATTTGCTGGCTGACTTTGGGGCCCCTAGGCCTTGGAGGGCTGAGAGTGCAGGAGGAGGGTATCCCGGGGCACTGGCCCCTGATGTCCTCCTTGCTGTGGGGGGGTGGGCCGGGGGCCGGGAGGGTAATGGAGTTCACACTGCTTGGAGCTGCTCCGAGGGCTGAGGAAAGCAAGGTCAGGCCGGCCTCTCTGCCCGATGGCAGCGGAGTGGGGCCCGATTCCTGGCACAGCTGCCACTGAGACTCACGGGGGACGCCTGGCTCAGGGCACTGCAGGCCTCTGAGTGCAGAGGACCTAGGGAAATGGTGCAGGGTGATAAGTGGAGCCTCGGGGTTATCTGGTGGCCACTGCTGGCCAGAGGAAGGGCAGGAGGCTGGGCAGGAAGCACCTAGCGTTTGGGTTATCAGGCCCTGGGGCCCTCCAGCCCCAGAAAGGGCAGCCAGCGACTCAGCTCTTGGTCGTTGGCAGGTGGCCTCGCTGGCTTCTCAGAGGCAACTGCTCTCTGCCCGGAACGAGGCCCCCTTTTCTCTGGAGTGAAGCACGTTGGTTCGGGTGTTCGGTTCACTCATTCCAGTCTTTCTAAGGAAAACCTGACTGCAGCCCACCCAGCAGCCTGGTGAATCCCAGCCTGTTAGAGCTCAGGGGCCAGAATCTCATCACCCCACATGCCTGCTGGGGAGGACAGGGGAGGCTGGGCCGCTCCTCCGCAGAGGGGGTCGTGATCTCGGGCCGGGAACCCAGAAGGGACACCACGGGACTGCCCGTGCTGTCGGGACGGCCTGGGGGAGGTGGCCGTGAGGGCAGGGGCTAAGGGCCCTGCACGGACTTCAGCCGGATGCCACCTCGATGCACATTACTCTGATTTCCCTTCCTCCCGATTGCTTCACCAGCCTCAAGCTCCTGGACTGAGAGCAGTTTCCCCAATTACCGCCAGTCCTGTTCAGAACAAGGATGCTTCCTGGGAGCCGGCAAGGAGGGCGGCCGGGGCGGTCGGGGGAAGGCCGTGCAGTGTTCATGCCTGTTCCAGGGGGCGGGCTCCCCTGTGGTTCAGTCCGGCTGCATTTAAAACGGAGGCATGACTGACCTATGATAGATGCACAGACTTTATATATTTTTAAAGATGGAAAGAGGCCTTTTTAAAAATTTTTTAAAAATAGGCTTTACACCCAGTGTGGGGCTTGAACTCCTGACCCCAAGATCAAGAATCACACGCTTCCCCCACTGAGCCAGCCAGGCGCCCTGAGATGCACAGACCTTACATGTGTCGTCTGAGGAGTTCTGACAAATGTCTACACACGTAACCACCACCCCAGTCGAGATAGAGATTTCGGTCTTCAGTGATTTGTAAAAAGAATTTCTGCTTCTAGAATTCACGCTCCAGGTGGAACACTGGAACCGCAGGGAAAACCAGGGCAGGGCGTAGCTGGGCTTCCGCGTGGAAACGTCATCCTGTCCCCCCCACCCCTCCCCATGTGGCTGCCAAATAAAGGGGCCAACTACCTGCCGCCACCCCACCAACCAGACAACCACAGCTAGCATCTGGGTGTGTTTTCTTGCAGTTTTTTCCATGCACATCTATAAATGTAACATTCTTCTATGCATATTCTTTACATACGTGACATCAGATCACTTTTGAGTATTTTTAAACTTACTATAAGCATTTTCCTATACTGTAAAATGCTTTGTAAATAGGTTTCTCAGAAGTCTTTGGTGTTTACTTTGTGATATTTGACTCACCGCTGTTGATGGCATAAGGAGTCGTTAGCACTGTGTTTAAAATGTGAATTTTATTTATTTTGAAATAAATAATACATTTACATGGCTCGAAATTCAAAAGGTACAAAAAGGTCTAGACCACAGGCAACCACCGTGACCAGCTGTGTAGGGAACTCGTTCCTTCGGCCCCCCCGGTGCCCTCATGCAAACCCACCGGAAGTTAGACGGGTACGAGCGCATGTGCCTTAGATGGTTCCCATCCCTTCTCTCTCCGTCCCACCCTGTCTCCCTCTCTCTCGCCCTCTGTACGGTCTTCCGCCAAACCACATCCTTACGCACAGCGGACGGCGCGTGTGGATGCAGTCAGGTCGTGGCCCGTTTCCCCCAGGCCCCCGCTCTGTGACACTGGTGCCCGACCCCGTCAGGCGGCTCCTAGAGGCCGAGGTCACAAACAGGCCTGCGCCATACGTCTCCCCGCAACTTAGGATTTGTTCTTGGGGACAGGTCCCAGAGTGGACTTGGTGGGTCTGCAGGTTTTAAGGCCGCTCTCCTTGCTCTGTCCACGCCCCACCTGGGTGCCAGGCGTTTGCCGAGCGACACCCTTTCATCGGTGTCCGTACGAGGGCCTTGGGTGTTCCTCCGACTGGTGTGTACATGTTTTTAAGGTATATATTCACCATCCGTGATGCCGCAATTCCCCCCTTTAAGTGGGGTTTTAAATTTATAGCATTTTAATATTTTGAGGAAATCAAATCTATATACTTAATTTCCTCTGTGGCTTTTCCCATCATTTTTGAGTCTAGAAAGCCCTTGCCATCCAGAAATCAGATACTATTCCCCCTAGTTTTAAGATTTTTTTTTTAAGATTTTTATTTATTTATTTGAGAGAGAGAATGAGAGAGAGAGAGCATGAGAAGGGGGAGTGGGAGAGGGAGAAGCAGGCTCCCCGCTGAGCAGGGAGCCCGATGCGGGGCTCAATCCTAGGACCCCGAGATCATGACCTGAGCCAAAGGCAGACGCCTAACCGACTGAGCCACCCAGGCGCCCCTTTAACTTGCATTCCCAATGACTGCAACATCTTCTCATGTATTTGTTGATCAGCTATGTACCTTCCTCAGGGAAGTGTCTTTTCAAATCTTTTTCCCTTTTAAAAATTGGGTCATGGGGCACCTGACTGGCTCAGTCGGTGGAGCGTGGGACTCTTGATCTTGAGGTTGTAAGTTCAAGCCCTACGGTGGGTGTAGAGATTACTTAAAAATAAAATCTAAAAAAAAAAAAATGGGTCATGTGTCTTATTAAGTTCCAAGAATTCTTCATATATTCTGGATAGATATGTGATTTGCAACTATTCTAGCTCAGTTTGTGGTATCACTGGTATCTTTTGAAGTGCAAATGTTTTTAATTTTTATAAAGTCCATTTTATCAATTTTTTCTTTTATAGGGAAAAAAAAATATCTAAGACCTCTTTGCCTAACGCCAAAGCCATGAAGATTATCTCCCAAGC